CCCCCGCCCTGTGTCGGGGGGGGAAGCGGGGGGGGGGGGGGGGGGGGGGGAAACACCACGATTCCAACCCCGAATTTAACGGGAACCCCCCGGGGGATTTTTGTTGTTTTTATCCCTGAGGGAATTTCGGGAATTTCACCCCCGGGAGCCGCTCCCGAACCGGCCATTCGGCCGCAGAGCTCCCGCTCCTCCTCCCCCAGCCCTTCATCCCTCAGGGTTAAAATGGGAATAAAGCGCCCAAGCCAGGGAATTCCAGGCCCGCAGGGACCGAACCTGCCAGGCCGGGATCTCCCGGGAGGAACCGCGGGAACTGTGAGGGAATTTCGGGAGTTTCACCCCCGGGAGCCGTTGCCGAACTGGCGCCGCTCCAGCAGGTCCTTGTAGGGCAGCTCCGGCATCGCCATTCGGCCGCAGAGCTCCCGCTCCTCCTCTCCCAGCCCTTCCCTGAGGGCGAATCCCAGGATTTGGCCGCCTCCCGGCGGTTGGAAAGGCCGGAGGTTCCCGTCGGGGATGGCGCGGGCGGGAACGGGGCCGCCTCCCCTCAGGCAGCGCCGGGCCAGCTCCTCCCGCCGCCGCCTCAGCGCCGCCGCCTCCCGCCGCAGCCGCGCCAGCCCGAAGCGCTCGGCGTGCCGCCAGAACGTGCGGTTAAAATGCGAATAAAGCGCCCAATCCAGGGAATTCCAGGCCCGCAAGCGCCGAACCTGCCAGGCCGGGATTTCCTGTGAGGAACCGCGGGAGTTGTGAGGGAAAGTATCCACGGAATTGGGCGGCCAGCACAGGCGCTCCCTCAGCAGCACCAGGGACTCGTCGAAGCGCTCGGCCAGCAGCACCAGGGGGAAAATTCGCTCCAGCTCCGCCAGCAAGGCCGGGATCTGCGAGGGCCGCGAGGGCCGCGGGAGGCCGAAGTCGAACCACTGCAGGTCCCGGGCGTAGTGGTTGCCGCGGGCTCCGGGCTGGAAGAAGCGGGAGGGGGAGGCGAGGAAGGCGGCGAGGGACGGGGAGCGGCGGAAGGCCGGGGAGGCCGTGCGGAAATAGGAGAAGGCCGAGGCGCCCAAGGAGCCGGGGTCGCGCACGATGGAGAAGTAGAAGCTGTCGTTGGGCATCACGCGCTGCACCTGCGAAAGGGGAAAGGGGTTTTTATTTGCGGGTTTCTTTGAGGGGGGGGGTGTGGGTGTGTAGAAATGTTCGGGGGTTTGTCCAAAAAAAAATAGGAAAATTCGGTCAAAAAGTGGAAAAATTTCCACCGAAAAATCCACAAAAATCCCCCCCAAAAACCGCTCAAAATCCATAAAAAATCCCTCAAAAAACGCCCCCAAAAATCCCAAAAAACTCCCAAAAAATCCCCAAAAATTCTCAAAAAATCCCAGAAAAATCCCAGAAAATCCCCCCAAAAATCCAAAAAAATCCCCCAAAAATCTCAAAAAAACCCACAAAAACTCCCAGAAAAATCCCAGAAAATCCCCCCAAAAATCCCTCAAAAAATCCCAAAAAATCCACAAAAAATCCCCCAAAAATCCCCAAAAAAATCCCCGAAAATTCCAGAAACTTCCCTCCGTACCTCTCTCAGCCGGAACCTCATGTGGTGCCCCAGAACGTCGAAGGTCTCCCCGGGCCGGAAGCCCCGCACCAGCTCGGCGCGGAAGAGCCTCCCCAAAACCCCCCAAAAATTCTCAAAAAATCCCAGAAAAATCCCCCAAAAATCCCCAAAAAATCCCCCAAAATTCCCCAAAAATCCCTCAAAAATTCCCAAAAAATCCCTCAAAAATTCCCAAAAAATCCCCCAAAAATTCTCAAAAAAATCCCCCAAAAATTCTCAAAAAAATCCCCCAAAAATCCCAAAAAATCCCCAAAAAATCCCAAAAAATCCCCAAAAACTCCCAAAAAATCCCCAAAAAATCCCAAAAAATCCCCGAAAATTCCAGAAACTTCCCTCCGTACCTCTCTCAGCCGGAACCTCATGTGGTGCCCCAGAACGTCGAAGGTCTCCCCGGGCCGGAAGCCCCGCACCAGCTCGGCGCGGAACATTCCGGGGTAGCCGAACTGGTAGCGCACGGGGAGGGCGAAGCGCAGCCGTCGCGACTCGGCGTATCGCGACAGCACGTTCAGCACGCTGCTGCCGCCCGTCTTGTGCGTCTTGAGGAACACCACGTGCGAGCGCGGCCGGCACGCGCCGGGGGACGAGCTGTCGCGACAGGGGAGAGGTGTCGCGATAGAGGGGAGGGGAAACAACCCCAAAATGTCGGGATTTGGGATCAAAACGGGGCCGGGATCGGGGATGGGCGGGCTCAGGGGGAGGGGGCGGGCGGCTGAGGAGCGGTAGTCAGGGGTTTGACCGCGATATCGCGATATTTGGTGTTCTGATTGTGATATATTACACTCAAATCGCGATATTTGCTGTTCTGATTGTGATATATTACACTCAAATCGCGATATTTGCTGTTCTGATTGTGATATCTCACACCCAAATCGCGATATTTGGTGTTCTGATTGTGATATCTCACACTCAAATCGCGATATTTGGTGTTCTGATTGTGATATCTCACACCCAAATCGCGATATTTGATGTTCTGATTGTGATATATTGCACTCAAATCGCGATATTTGATGTTCTGATTGTGATATCTCACACCCAAATTGCGATATTTGATGTTCTGATTGTGATATCTCACACCCAAATCGCGATATTTGATGTTCTAATCCCGATATTTGACATTCTAATCGCG